ATGTTTCCTGCCAGTCTTCTTATAGTCCCCAGTTCACATACCCAGATGATACATTGGAAGATATAGGAAAAAAGGGTTGTAATGCTCTCCTTGTGCTTTTTGAAAAATGTTATGGCCAAGTTAGGAAGTGCATGATATCCTTTGACTTGGTGAGGCTAGGAAGTGATGTTGGAGAAATGATAATGCAGTTGATGATACAACAGTTGAGACTCCTAATCTGGAAAATGATAGTTCCTTGGTAGCATCATTTTGGTTCCTTTTACTTTTCAAGGTTGCCTCAGAGACAGTTTATCAAATACCCCAACTGCTGCTCCTGTGAACTGAGAAAAACATTGTATCAGGTACCTCTGCTAAAGTGTAGAAATATAAAACTTCATTATGGAAAAAGAAATGAACAGAGTATAATAGGAAATTAAATTCAGCTTTGAACTTTGAGAGCTTCACAAAACTCAGAGTTCTTTGAATGTACTGTAAATCCAAAGGAGCAGAAGCAATTGCAGCAATCTCAGAAAGAAACACAGGTTGGCAACTACTTGAAAGAAAACTAGTAGATTAGTAACCTTGCCACTTTCCTTCTTGGGTCTGTGTCTGAAGGTCCTTCCTTTGCATTAAATTGCTGGAATCCTTGGCTACCTGTTATTGATCTGAGCTAGTTTTTTCCCCCATCTGCTTGGCTCTGGCTGGCTCAGTGTTGTCCCAAGGCCCATTAAACTATGGATTGAAGGGGTAATACCAAAACAGTGTTTGAGAGGCTTCTAATAAAGCTCGAAATCCAGAGTTTCTCCATTGTTTATGTGTATTTGCATGGAAGCATGCGTGCATGCCTGCAGAGAGGACTCCCTTTTGTTGGATAAAGGCATATAATCGTTCCCACTGAGATCTAGTGTTGGGATGATTACTGGCAAGACTAGATAGGGTGAAAGATTTCACTCTAGCCTTTGTAGGGAAACAATGGCAGATCAGTGATTGACTTCGGGTTCTAGTATTCACACTGTAGCTGTAGCACACTGAGCACCTCAGGAGACCAGGCCCTCTGTGGCAGCCATGGACCTGTCCCAGTTGGTCTCTGGGTGTACTCTAGATCTGGAACTCTATTAAGCTGGATGAGCTTTTGGTAATTCTGTTATCATATTTTAGGCAGTCCGCTGGTCCTTATCTCCAAAGCACTGGTGGACAGTTACAGTTATGTACCCCATGTTTCCTTATGGATCCAAATAGTTTCCTTGAGGATTTTCCTGCCTTCTTAGAGATACTGTCAAAACACTGGCTGATTTATGGATTATGGAAATAATAGAGGAGAATATATGTAGCTCAGAGTTGAACTGTAGAGTCCTTGGTGCACTTTGAGCTTGGTTGTTTGCTTGCAGGCGTTTCGTTACTCAACTAGGTAACATCATAAGTGTTCTGATGAGGTTACCTAGTCGGATAATGAAACATCTGCAAGCAAACAACCAAGCTCAGAGAGCACCAAGGACTTCACTATGGAAATAACCTGAATAGTGAAAACTATCAATGCTGAACAGAGCTAAGTCAGCCTCATGGGTAACAGGAAGCTAAGAGTGGTAAAGCAAAAGAGACAGCAGCTTGAGAAGAATAGTAGATGTGCATCAATCCCACATAGACTAAAGCTCATTTGCAGCAATATTCTGCGGCGAAGGGTGCAGCAAAGAATTCTTTCTTTAGACCATCTGCTGAGAATAAGCTCTGCTTCTTTTCTTGCTGTGTAGCTCATTGTGATCAGTCTGAGTATTCTTTACAGATAGAGTTGCTTGATCCACCTCAACTTGGTTTCCAGTGTTGAAGCAGAGTATAGTAATTTAATCATGGCAACTGTTTGAGCTGTTTTGAATTATTTTCAGCTTATGGATCTCAAGGATTCAGACAAGCCTGTCTGGAAAGATATGGGCTGCCACTTGCTTCTTTAATTCTTGCCTATTTTGGTTAGTTAAATTGATTGGGAGAGGACTGGACCCACAGTAAGAAGTAAATTAGTGCTTTTGGTCTGTCCTTCCATCCCTAAAGGAGACAGTGATAAGATCATTATTAAAGAAACCTTTCCTTGACCAAGAAGATATTAGAAACTATTGACTAATCTCAAATTTACCATTCTTGGCTAAGGCTATAGAGATAATGATGACCTTTCAGCATAGACACATCTGGCATATATTGTTTACCTAGACCTATTTTTATTGGGTTTTTAGATGGGATAATTGAGTTGGCCTTTAAATTTTTATATGCTCCACCTCAGGATCAATTATGATAGCTTCCCCATCACTGACTAAAAATCAGGTGTATATCCTCAGTGTCTGCATTTAACAGATGTAGTGCAAGTTCCTTTCCTGGTGCTCCCTTTTCCCTCCAGAACAGCAACCAACCCTATAAACAAACAAAACAAACACGGTCCTTTAGCTTCTTGACATCCTTGCTTTTACTTGAATGGATTTGAAATTCAATTTCATTATAAATGCTTTGCACAATTGTATCAAAATCTAAATGCAGACAAATTGAGGAAACTCTATTATGATTTCTTCTCATATCGTTGAGGAATAAAATCCACCTTACAAATCTTGTTACTCCGAATTAAAAGAATATATAAAAACTAAATTTCAAGTAAGTGAAACAGAACCGGTCTTCCTTCTGCAAATCAGAGGACTGGAACTGAAATGAGAAGACCTTTTCTCAATGTGCACTGTTCTTTATCAGCACTGGCCTAGAATGGCCATGTAATAGAAAATTGTGCTACTTTTAAAGGATGATTAATTCAAGTTGCTTTAAAGATAAAGAATCCTAAAAGAAGGATTGCAAAGACTATAAGATTATCAATCATTAGCTGACTTCTGGACAGCAAACTAAGTAGATAAAACAGGCCACCTGGACACATTCTTTCCCATGGTGGTGAGAAATGCTGTATTGTCATTCCAAATTTATACTATACATCTATATTAATTTTCAACTTCCATGCAGATTTGTACCACCTTTTGCCAACTTGTTTTGGTGACATATTTTTTGTCTTTTAGTGTTATGTAAATGGTCATTGTGTGCTGCACTGACTCTCACATTTGTCTACATGCATTAAGATCCCCACTGAATATATTGTATGGGCATTGTACCTTTTATAGCCTGGAATTTTTCCTGCTTCTTGTTTCCAAAAGGCCTAAAAGAATCCAAGAAGTGTGCAGGTGGACAAGTAAACTGACTAATTATATCAATGAGAATGCCCCTTAGTTTCTTTCAGTTACACTCAGCTGAGCATAACAACAATCAATGTCTTTTTGAATTAGTGTTTGGGAATATATTAGGAATCTGTAGCTGTTTTGAGAGGCAATTATATAAGGTAGGTTATAAATGCATTTTGTTCAATTTTCTTTCTTTTCTCTGCTGATTTAAACATTCCCAAAAATTATCCTAAAGATAATGTGTTTTAAAGAAATTGCCTTTCTCAAGAGCTTAACTGACTAGTTTTTTAGCTGAGCTAGGTATGACACTTTTAAAACAACAAAGGCCATGAAATTGATACACTATAGATTTTCACAACTTTGCAGTTCAAAGTGTCTTTTCATGCATTTACAGATCTTGGTGTGAGTCACTTTAAATAAATAGTCATCATATTGTAGTCTTCTCCAAGTCGGTGTTCTCCGTATGTGCTCAACTACAAGACCTACAGCAACCAACCAGCACTCAAACTAAGAAGCTGTCTGGAAATTATGCAAGTTATAGTGTAATACATTTGTAAGAGGCCATTAGGAAATGCAGCAATATTATATATTGTTGTTTTTTTTAACTGGCTGGCTTTTGAATGGATGTGATTACTCTTTCTGCCCGATCCCAAGTCTTTCAGCAATGTACTATCACTGGAATTGGTATAGAGAATTTTATAAGAAGTACTTTTCAAGGCGCCTTTGAGCTAATATGCATATGTGTCTCCCGTAAAATGCTGTGGTACCACATTCACATCTGCATCAAATATATGGCACCTGTTCAGCTACTTAAATAGGTTTTGCTATGTGGAAGGGTATGCAAACAATATTTTCTGTTTAACCTGATCTGTCTTTTCCTCTCCATTGCTCTGCTGAGGGCAGAATTTATCATAATGTGTGTTTCCATTGCATTGCAATCCACTTTATTTTGAAAACACAGTGGTAGAACAAATACAGTTTGAAGGGTACTTCATATATGTTTTCCCTTGCAGAAGAATGACTCTTGGTCCCCTCAGATTTCTTAGTAATAATCTATTCTGATTATAAGGTTGTAAAAAGAATAACTGAGTATAGTTCTGCTCTAAGTTTTTATAAATAACATTTTAGCTGCTTTTTTGAGTACAGTGTTACAAATATATTTCTTGATTCTTTATATCTATTAGAAAAGGAAAGATAATTGGAATTCTCTAAACCCTGGGTGAATTAAAACAGTGAATTAAAGAGTATATTTCTGTATTATTTTAGCATTAGTGAAAATGTATTCTGGAAACTGAAAGCTGTTAAGAAGAAGAGAAATGCAGTCACAAGTTCCATTTGGTTCCCATTTTTTCTGCTTTTAGGAAATCTGTAAAGCACATATTTTTAGCCAACCCTCTAAAGATCAACTATTTTATTTTTTGTTTTATTCTTTGGAGAGTTGTGTTTTTTGTTTGCATATTTTAAATTATAAGTCCCTATAACTGTTCATTTTGAAGGTAGCACTTAAATTAAAATGTTTTGTATGGTAGCTAGATTTAAAGACTTTTTAGGGTTTTCTCTTTTATACTTGTGCTTGATAACTTTTATTCTTTGTTGTACAACTTACCTTTTCTTCTGATAGATTCAATGTTTTTGTTTTTCAGAGGTGGATATTTTATAGAAATATTACAGAGTCATTTAGGTTTCCTACTTGCATGAAATTTGGTACTTATTTCAGTTGTCAAATGTATAATTCGTGAACTGCATACTTCCTAGTTATCTTTTAAAGTTGAAAATACATGCAGATCATCAGAATACCACTGTTGTTTTTTTCTTGTCTCCCAGGTCCTCAGATTTTGGAACATTATATACTAAATTAAACCTACAGCCTGGAATTGTTACAGTCATTGAAAATTTCTACATCTGTCCTGCTAACAAGAAGAAGGTATGGGGTTAATTGTTTATTTCAATAGGGAAGCCCAGAAAAATGTATGTTTTTATGTTGTGTTTAGCAGAATAAAAATTCTAGCAAAGCATGTCAATCACATGTAGCTCATGGAAGAGAAACCATTAGAAGTACAGTGGAACCTCGGTTT